AAGTATATAAAAGTGCTATAAAATATAGCAGGATGACAATTAAAATGATTTTTAAACATGATTTCATATAGAGGTGTAAAAAAGTGTGCCAGAACTCCCCTTTTCGCCCTACTATAGTAAGCTATTAAAAATTTTCTTTACAAATAACATCAAATATTATTAGATATTTTTTGCCAAGCCATTATTTACTGTTAATAAATAATTTTAATTTTAACAATTTTATTTTAATGAAGGTTGATAAAAGCATTAAAAGATAGTATGTTAAAGTATGGAACACAATGGACTAAGATTAAGGAAATTAGCAACTATGTTATCAGCATCTGCAAAATCTGTGAATGAGCAGAAATAAATATACTATTAACTTTTCCACAAGTAAGAGAAGAGCTGACCTACTCTAAATGAGTTCTACTCTAAAATCCTGAAAGACAGTTTCCCGAAAAAGACATAATATCGACAAAATTAGCCAGCATTAGTTATAATGCTGGCCAATTTAGTCAGTATTATGTCCTTTCGGGAAAATGGCTTTCAGGATTTCAGAGTAGAACCCTCTAAATGTGAGTAAAGACATTAAACATGAGCATGTATTTATTTTTTTTTTTATCATTTTTTTTTAACTCTCACACTTTTGTTTTTTTAGTTATGAGTCAAGAAAAAGCTCTGTTATCATATTAGCACCTATTCCATAAAGAGAGGTTGATGTGCATCGAAATTGCAACTCAGTACTAAATACTGTAATTGGTCTAATAATTAATTAATTCTGATTTTTCAGATTGGCTATCTTATGTTGAGGAGCCTGATTTTTCCTGTTATCATGATAATAATTTTGATCCAACTTTGTTAAATAGTTTATTAAAGAATATTAAAGGTAATTCTATTAATCTTCCTGAATAGTAATGGAGACTAAAAGAATAGAAACTTTAATAATGGCACTAAAGGACACTTGTATTGGAATAAAATATACTGTTAGGTATAAAGAAATGGCTTAATAGACATTTTTGTCCTTTCAGGAGGTGGAGACTGTGTAGTTCTAGAATTGAAATATGTTAATTTGGTCAGCCTTATGAGAGGAAGCACTAGAAATTTTGATGATGAATACAGGGCAAACGAATTATATAGTGAAAGTAAATAGTTCTTGCTAGCAAGGCAGTATATATACTGTTCAATAATAATATGAACTAATTAATATCATATTTTAATATAATCTGTTTCAGATAATAATTATACTGTTACCGGTGTTTATGAAGAAAGAATTTGTTGTATTGGTTGCAGGGTTTCATATTTTCTTATAGCAGGTTGTTGGGGGAAAAAATAATTAAGTATAAATATTATAAGGCTGAGATTATATAATGTCTAAAAACTTTATAAATTAATTGATTTAGAAGTAGAGATGGGCGAAGTCAGCTACATATTATTACATATTATTTCTAATTATTTCTTCTAATATTTTGCGTAATAAGTAATAATTAGCAAAGAATTATAATATATATAAAATTAATTCGATTAACAAATTATTGAAAATAAATAATAAGCATTCGTCATGATCAATAATAAGTACTAATACGCACTTTGCAGAAACTTAAATATCTTGTAATTACATAGTGATGACGTAGTAAATATATACAGTTAGACTTCTCTAAGTTCATAACACTTTAATAATATGCATATAACTTAGAGAGAGATCTGACTGTACTTACTATTAAATTCAATTGTAACTGCATTGTTACTATGCATTAAGAGATTTAAGTTTCTGTATAATATGTGTAAGTGCTGAGTAAAAATATAAGTATTTATTACTTATATTATACTTTGCCCATTTCTATATAGGAGTGCAATTTGTGAGCTTTTTTTTTTAGAGTTATACATGGTTTCTTCTATTTAAATAACCTTATATATAGAGATTATTATTTCCTTCTTATAGACGGAGATTACAAAATTTTCTTGAAAATTCATTCTCCTTTGATTTGGAATCAAAGATAATCTTAGCTTAGCGAAATTACGTTATTTATATAGTGAAGGAACCATTCACAATGATTGGTAAGATGATCTTTAGATAGTAACTTGTTAATGTTTAAAATTTTTTTTTATTTCTACTAAAATTTTATGTACAGTACATATATATGTTTTCATTATGCATTATTTGTTGGTTCTCATCAATTTGGTAACATAGATTCATTGATTCAAAAATGATATGTTGACTTTATATAGTTTATACATAAAGCCAAAAAAGAAGTTTACTGTTTATTATATATTTTTTAGGTTTTTTTTAAAAAAAATCTTACTTTTTTGGTTCGTAAATATCTTGAGAAAATACTAAATAACATATATTAATCAAAAGAAAAATATGGCAAGTAGCTATTCTAAAATCAAATTCAGTAATTTATCTGAAGAATTGTAGAAATAAGGCAAAGCTAAATGAATATGTGTTTATTTGAACTTTATGAATTTATTAAATATCCTTAACTTAATTAATATCAATAAATTAAATCAAAGGAAATAATTACTCTGTAAAAGTATTCACTTTTGTTGAGCAAACAGGTATTAAAAGAAGCTATATAATATTCAAAGCAATATTTTAAGTAAAATAACAACCAAGTAAGCTTTATTTATTTGTTTATTACCGAATTATTCATAAAAAAAACTGATGATTATTCTTATTCAGGAAGACCAATTGTAGCATTAAATCATGCTCATTTAAAAGGATCAATTCATTAGATGATTCAGAATTAGATTATTTTGAAAATAAGTGAGAATTTAAAAAAATTCTATTTCTTTAAAACAGAAAATGAAATAAGAATATCTTTTTCATAATTTATTATCATGTAAAAAAAAAAAAAATAGAATTTATAAATCACTTATTTCTAAAGAATACTTCACTAAAATTATTAGGATGGTAAAACACACTAGACCCAAATAGGTCAAAAAGTTGATTTTAAAAGTTCACTAATAAATAATACCAATATTCATGAAGCCTTTGCTGGACTTATAAGTGATGATCTTAAAAACCGCTATTGCGGTGACATAGTACACTAGCAATCATAAATAATGCATCAAAAAAAAATTTTTGGTTTGATCACATTATCTCCTGTAATTTTGGGTGTATCCTTTTACTTTTTTTTTATTTTACTCATAAATAATACAGTATACTTATATAAAAGTCTTAGAAAGTATTAATGAGGCAAAATTTTTTTGAGTATGAACTTTATTTAAAACAACGTGTTGCATTATTTTTGCTCGTTTTAAATACAACACGAACATAAAACAAGAAAATTTTTTTTTATATATAAATAAAAAATTTTTTTATTTTAATATTTTATGACTGCCACAACATAGTGTATTCACCTTGTGCCTTGATAGCTTCACAAACTTGTTCTGGCATTTGAATGAATCAGCCAATACGGGTTCAAATTTTGATTTTTAACAAGGCTACCTAGATCTTGCATCGAGGATCTTTTTTACTTGAAATTTACCCAAGATGTCTCCAAGACAATGGTCAACCTTGACCTACAAATATTTAAAAAATTTTAGTTTAGAAAATCAGATTGCCAATTAAAACTCTTTGCCTAATTATTTCTATGCTAATATTTTGTAACTGTTATATTATATCTATCACCATTATCTTACTACAAAATTATGTTTTTAAATAGCCAATTCATAAACTCTAATGGTATCTATAAAACATTAATAAAAATCCATTAGTTTAATTCAATATTCGTCGCATAATCGCTTTGTAAAACCCTATTAATGCTGCGAAATATAATATAATACTATACCCTCATGAACCTATTCCAAATTTTTAATATAGAAGCAAATTAATAATTTTTCAAGATGCTTTTTACAGTATAATTTACTAACAAACTTAAAAATTCCAAATTTTTGCCAGTTAACACAAATTACCTTAGAACAGTATTTAATAATTCGATTTTTACGAATTCAAGCCAACGTTTTTGTTGACAGTCATACAGGTAGAGCTTAATCTTTAGTACCAAACCATAGTATCTATATATAAAAAATAAAAAAAACCTTAATTGGTAGATTGCAGTTAAAGGGTACAAAATGATCGACATTTTATAATAAACAAAATCAGAAATCTATATGTTTTTTCTATAGTACAAGAATGTGGCTTGCTTACATATAAAAGTTTTTTTTTATTAAGTAATTTTTTTTTTGCTTTAACAAAAGTTGTAAAGCTAATTTTTCTGCTTCTAATGGTAGTAAA